TGGATGCATCCCGTCAGGGCCCATGGATTTGTGGATGTCAAGTTTGGACAAATGATTTCTAACCTGATCCTCCTCGACCAAGGGAGAGTCTTCCTTTCTCCAGCCTTCCTCTCTTGTCCCCAGGGTCTGGAATTCCCCAGGGCTGGCCTTAGCAGTGAAGACTGAAGCAAAGAAGGCATTCAGTAACTCTGCCTTCTCTGTATCCTTCCTCACCAGGGCACCCGACCCATTCAGCAGCGGGCCCACATTTTCCCTAGTCTTCCTTTAGCTACTGATGTATTTGAAGAAGGCCTTCTTGTTGTCCTTGACATCCCTTGCCAGATTTAATTCCAACTGGGCCTTAGCCTTCCTTGTCGCATCCCTGCACGCTCTGACAATGTCCCTATATTCCTCCCAAGTGGCCTGTCCCCTTTTCCATATTGTGTCTACTTCCTTCTTCTGTTGGAGTTTTGTCAGGAGCTCTTTGCTCATCCATGCAGGTCTCCTGCCCGCTTTGCTCAACTTCTTGCTCATAGGGTTGCATAGTTATTAGATTGAATGCTTTCAGCTTTATACTTGCAACTTTAACCAATTTCATGAGGTTCTTCATATTTACATGTGGTTATTGATTAAGATGGCATGTCTTTCTGAAACTAGGTGATATTATTCCAGTGCTTTGCTGGCAGAGTTTTAGATCTGTCATAAAAAAGTCATGTTTCCTACAAAATGGCCAGGTTTTGAAGCACAGATGACGTTATGTTACTGTTACGACATACGTTCTTACTTTCAACACTGAGCAGGGCTTTTTAGTAAAGAATCTGTGTGTTTATTTTTAGGATGAATTCTAGAAATGAGCTTTGTGTTTTCTGACTCAAGTCTTAGGCAAAATTTTCTTAAAATATTGTTCTATCTTCACATGTTTTTGTAATATTTAATCATTCTGAATATTCCTGGGTAATCTTACATTGAGTGAGGTCTTTCCCAAATCAGGGAAAATTAGAATTGTCATTCTAGTGCTCATTCTTAGAAATGAATCAAAGCACTGTATTAACTCTGCCTTTTGACCAATAAACCTACCTGTGTGCTCATGCATAGAGCTGATTTCTAAACCATGTGGTTATTATAGTTTTTTTTTTATACTTTAAAATATTTTATTGTTGGTGAGGTGTATTTTTAACACTGAAAGTAACTTTTTACTTTCTCTGTGGAGCAAGAATGGAATTTCATGGAATCCTGCTAAACTTGGTTCAGAAATCCTTTTTCACCTTTTTAAGGTACACTATTCTAAGAATTCAGTTTTCTGTTAATGACTCAGTCTTTTTACTGCAATGTAATGAATTTCTGAGAAGAGAATCCTTTTAAAAAGAGCCTGATCTTTTTAGGAATTTATACTTTGTAGCAAGGTGGTGAAAACAAGTTTTGTCAAAGATATGGAGAAGCTCTTAAAAGCCTACTGGAAAGCTGTGTCTAAATTCTGCTGGCATTCAGTGGGATTTATGTTCACCTTATTGCAAGCAATTAGTACACATCTTGTCAGCTAAGTCTCTGTTAGAAAACAAAACCTTACATTAATCTGTAATTTAAGCAATCCTTGTAGCGTTTTTAGCTGAATGTGTTTTGCTTGGTCTTGCAATATGCTAGGAGATGCAGTGTTTCCCAGTTTGTGTTTTGGAGCACTCTTGGATTTTTGTTTACACTTAGCAACATGTAGTTTTTACCAAATGTTTCAGCAAACTGTTGTCAGAATGTCCTCTGAGAGCAACTGAAGTGTTTTATTCCACCTTTTAGAGAAGAAAATTATTACTTAATTCAGTCCCCTGTAAATTGGGGATTAAATATCTACTTTTTTCCTCCTTTCCTTAAAACTTTAGGATTGTTTTTGCTGCACGTTTTAGGATTTTCTAATCACCTGACAGTTAGAAGTGATCATGAGGTAATGCAAGATCCACAAGGGACCTACCCATAAATGCATAGCTCCTGGTCAATAGTTCTTTCTTTCTCTCTTCTAATTTTTCCTTCAATAATCTCCAGATAGATAGCTTCTTTTATCTTCTAATTTTTCATTACCTTAAAATGTCCATTACTACTTTTGTTTTTTTGTGTATTTTTAATACCATTTCTTCTTTCTGTTTGTCTACTGAGGTTATAACTGGTATTTGAATATATGACATTCATTAATGGATTTTATCCTGACAAAATTCCTGTGAGGATGGGAAGTATTATGGCCACTTAGAGCTAAGGCATACTGAAATTTAATAATTTAAGATCAAGCGAGAAATCTGTAGTTCTGCCCTGAACTGAACCCTGATCAGATAGATTATGGTGAGTAGGACTTTTTGCAATTTTGTTAATATGTTGTTGGACTTGTGACTTGATTTCCTTTCCAAGTGAGTCTTAATTTAATAAGAGGTGCTAGAGTTGTACAATTCCCTTCTTTCTCTATCTTCTTGTTTGTCAACAATATTTATTTTAATTAAACAGAATTTCCAGCCTGAACATACTTTACAACTCTGTTCCTGTATTCTTCATTGTTAATCTGCCTCCTTTTGTTCTTATTGCAGGTGCTGTGCAAGCTTTTCCCCACAGCTCTGTCACTATATTTCATTCTTGAACTGCAACACATTCTTTTCCAAACCAGGACCTAGATACAGCCAGTTGTGCAATGGTTTAAAGATCTGGATAAATATACACCTGACATTTGGCTGACATCACCAAATTCATTCTCATTTGTTACCTAGTCGATATATGAACCAGAGGTGAAAAGCTAGTGCACTAACACACTCACTGCACGAGCTACTCTCTAAAACTTTAATTTTAATTATGATAGGACTCCTGTAAATTACTAATATTATCAAACGCT